GACTAGCCTGCTGCTACCTGTTTTGCGTGGCGTTTCACGACGTGCAATGCGTAAAATTCTATTCTTATATATATTACTATATATATATATAATATATATATATATATAATATATATATAAATCTCGAGGAAAGTGAACTAGTGATGGTATGTGTTCGATTTGTATTTTTATATGTTTTTTTAGTCCTAAATGTAAGATGAGTTCACCTTTAGCACTTCACCACAATAAGACTTTATCATAAAACAGGATGCACAGCCAAATGATCTTAATATTTTTTTTAATTTCGTCAGCTGCAAAAAGCCTTTCTCGAATGTGTGCAAGTAGAAGTGTGGCAAATATTGAGGCAATTAGTTTGCGTTCCTGCGAAATTTGCAAACATTTTATTTCACATGATGATTAGGGTTCAAGGCCCAAAAGTAGATTTTGACTCTAGCCCATTTTGAAGTCATTGCCTCACAACAACGGCAACAATTCGTCTGTTATCTTGTTTCATGACAGCTCCTTTCACTTTCACAGATAAAATGCCAGTCTTGCGTCGCTGCAAGTTATATTCTTTGATTTTATTGCTTACCTCCTAATTAAAACCCAGAGCATTTCTATATGAGGAAGATCTGCGATCTAGTTTATTGACTTCCGCGCTTCAGCCTAGGAGAATTAAACTAAGTCTGACGAAACTTAAGTGAGGTGCTGACGTACGTCTGGAGTGGTAGGCGAAAACGCAATTCGGATCTTTCAAGTACATTTCATATTGTAAAGAAAGGTCTACAAAATGAGATCTATTTTAAAACCGTTTTCCGGTTTTGGAGATTTAGTAGTACCTCCTCCTCCGCTCAGGTCTCATGGTAATAATATATATATAATATATAATAATATATATAATATATATATATATATTATGTATATATATATGTATATATATGTGTATATATATGTTATACTATTAATGTATATATATGCTGTATATATATATATATATATATTTATATATATAATAGTATATATATTATATAATGTATATATATAAACAGAAAGAAAGAAAGACAGAAATAATCCTTCCATGATTAAATTCATAGGACTACGTATTTTGATTTTTGTTGTAAATTTAATTCTAACGCCTTAGCAATCATTAGCAATGTTTACTCACACGCAAAGAACGGCTGTTTTAATTGCCAAATCTGCAGTTTGGGTCTGTTTGACTCGAATTTGCGGCTTCGAGTATGAAGAGTCCAATTTTATCCACAATGTTTAGAAAGTGGCTCAATGCTACCCATGAATCCGCCATAATTTTATTTCACTCGTAGGGGACTAATTGGATTAAATATGACAAAACATTATTGTGTTAAAAACGTAAACGAATAAACAAAATCTGCTATTTTCTTAGTGTGTTAATCGCGCTCTGCACTTGAAAACAAGTTGTAAGATACAGCTCGCAGAAGGCCTCGAATTGTGATTATCTCGTTCATGCGTAATGATCGCAGTAGCGGTTATTGAGAGAATGACAGTTTCCATAGTGAGCACAGGGACAGTGACGACTCGACTGCGGAACGCGAGGAAGCACATTTCCACAAATTACGTGATTAATGATATCATTAAATTCAAACCGATGTGACACGTACTGCCATTAAACGATACTCCCGGACGTGGTAGAACTTGGAATTCACCTGACATACTTTCGCGACAGCTTATTAAACAAGGACAGTTAGTTCTTGCGGTTACCTGCCATCGTGGTAATGTTCAGATACTAAGTTATTGACGACGAAGACGACGCACAACAGCAACAACCTAAAAAATAAGCTAACACTAGATTTAATAAAAAAGAAAAAAAACCAAGCTAAATCTTCGCAATTGAATACTGTTTGAAGCTAGCACGTTTCTTCACTCTCGCTACTTTTTACATTCATAATACCGCAGAAATCAATTATCTCGCGGTAAAATGTATTTTATCAATGTTTTCCGCCTATCTGCGCATGTTCGGCGTGTCTGTGCGGCGTCTTGCCTTGCTGTTCATGGAAACCGCGTAATTTAGGAAAGGGGTGCCGGGAACGGCATGGGATTGAATTGAGTGGAGACGGGCAGCGGCGCTGGCGTGCGTTGGCGTGGGTGGGTGGCGTGGCGGGTGGGTTGGCGGCGGATGGGTGCGGCAGCGGGACGGAGCGGGGGCGAGGCCGGGTGGGGATGGGCGTGGGTGGAAAGTGTCGGGTCGGGGCGGGGCGGGGCGGGGCGGGGCGGGGCTGGCGTTGCGCGCGGTGGGTTGGCGGGCGCGGACGGGCGGAGCGGGATCGGAGCGGGGGCTGGGCGGGGCGGGGCGCGGCCTGGGCCGGGGCTGTGTTGGCGGCCTGGTTACGCCGAGTTGAGAGGCGCGAATGCGGCGCGTGGCGGCAGCGCCGTCTTTCCGACGCCGAAGTGGGCTTACCGCGAACCAGCGCCGCGCCGCGCAACAACCGAGTGCGCCCTGTCTCTCCGCACTCCTCCCC